TTTTTTCTATTGTTGTATACTATCCATTGATTTAACTTGCTTCTTTCTCATCTCTCTTCTTTCATGACTCTTGTAGCCTTTATAAATTTCTGTCCTGTTATATTATTTTTATATTGTACATTCATCAGCTACTGTTTTTTTTAGTTTACTGAAACAATATATGTAATTTGTATTTAGTAAATAACAACTTCACAAATTAAAACTAAAATTATAAGTAAACGTAAAAATTGTTACAAATACCATTTGCTTTTGTTATTTTTTAATCATAGTTATTGTTACAAATATAACTTAATGTTATAAGGCAAAGGGTTACAATTCTTTTTTCTCAGAAACATAGTTAAATTATCTAAAAAGTGTTTTAATTGAATACATTCAAATCACAACAACATTATGAGGATAATTTTGGAAATTTCATATGCAAAGCTAACAAAGAAAGTAGGTTATTGCTAATTTAATTATTCTAGAATTATTTATTATAATTTTAGAAATTGGATATTATAACTTCATAGAATGTGCGTCTGTGTGTCCGTTTGCGTGTATGTATCTATGCATGTATGTGTGTTACAGATTTCTTCAAGTAAACTAAATTCACCTAAAACAGAGAAAATGTTTCAAGACACTTGTGGAAATGATAGAATTTTAAGAAGCCAAGTGTCTAAAACAGAGCAAAAGAAGGATCTTACAGCTGTTGTTAGTATGTTACAAAAGAAACAAATAGAAAATTTACAAACAAATGCTGAACGATTATATCTGGAGACTATGCATTCAAATTCATCTGCAGTTTATCAAACCATTGAATCAATAGTTTCAACTCAAAATCATAGAGATCTAATGAAAGCACAGGTACAATTTATAAGTATTTATAGCATAAATAATTAATTACAAAAACATTGTTTCAAATGTTTTATGAATATTTTGTTAATATTTAGGTAATGGAGTTAAACAATATAAGTGAACAAACAGCAGTGTTAGGTCCAAATGGACAGCTTGTACAACCTAGTCAAGAATTGATTAGTAATACAGTAACTCAAATTTGTGATAATGAAGGAAGTGCCATTCATGAGAATGATCTCGTCTGTTCTATATGTACGTTTTTATTAATTAAAAATTTTATATTCAAGAAAACGTTAGCCGTTCACACAAAAACGCTGCACACATCTCATAGGTTATGTTATCCCTGCCCTTGTTGTTCTAGTACATTTGCTAATACTTGGAGTGTTTATAGACACCTTTTTAAAGGTAGGGGAAGTGTTTTATAATATTATAATTTACATGAATTAACAGTAATATATTGTTTAAGTAAAAAGTAAATTGTAAATAATATAAAACTAAATAAAAATTGCATTATAATTATATTAATCTTAATTTGGAATATTTAAAGTCAAATTTTTAAATGTGAAATACAGTTCATAGAAAATCTAATGAACAAGTACGGAAGCTCCGATCACAAATTCAAGAGAAAGCCTTCATTAAGGATACAACTGTTGCTGAAGATTTGCAAAAAGAGGATGCTAACAAAATTTTAATGAGCAGTGAATTATGTATTAATGAAACACAGGTATGTTAATTGTTATAATTGTGTTTCACTTTTTATTAAAATATTGTAACACAATGTTTTTGTAGGAATGGATGGATCATTTAGAATCTGATACGGAATTGCAAAGATGTGGAGGCTGCGGAAAAAGATTCGACAGGAAGGCAGCTTTGTCAGCTCATTCGCAATACTGTCAAAGGCGTGTTGCAGCCTGTGAAAGTACAACTAAAGTCAAAAAGATAAATAAAGTTTTATCGGATTGTACTTCAAATGAAAATATAAGTACTAATTCAGAAATACAAAAAAATAATGTGGATGTTCAAAACTCTTCCATTTCGTTAAAAATCGATAACAGTAATGAAACGTCCATTCGTGTAGAAGCTGTTGCTAGTTTAAGTAAAGCAGACTGGGATATGTTGGAAGGTGGAGAATCAATTCCACAAAATGAATCTAATACAACTGTTATAACAGCTCTCACGAATGGAGTACAAGAAAATGTAGAGAAAGATAATCTTTCCTCTGTAAGTGATACATCTGATCCTGTACAGATTGTGTACACTAGCATAAACAAACATAAAACTACTATTGGAAGTAAAAAACGAAAAAATAAAGATAGTACAAAAAGATTAAATAATAATGCAGGTAAAAATAATACTTTGTATTTTATTTTGTGCAATTTAAGATGTTATAGTTACACAAATGTATTTCATAAATTCTATTATTTTTGTTTGTATTGATAATAAAACGTACTGTGAAATGACATTTTCATCTCTAGGAGGCATTGCAAAAGACGTATCTGTAGAAGTAAATATTGACGGTGACGCAGAAATCGAAAAAATAGATCATGTTTTATTAATGGAAAAAAAAGTAGCCTCAATAGTAAATTTTCAAAAACTCCAGTGCCTTCCTTGTAAACGAAAGTTCACTTCAGTGAACAATTTAAGAAGACATGCTGCCATTCATATTGGTTGGAATCGTTATCAATGTAAACTTTGTGACTATAAATGTTTCGTTAAGTGTGATTGCGTGGCACATTGCAATAAAATGCACAATGCTCAAAACAATCGTGTTATTATAGAAGGAATGATAAATCAGATTTCAGATGATCAATATATGTATGATCAAAATATTATGTTGAATATAACGAATTTAGAGGAAGAGGTTGATTCTCCAGAAATTGTAGAAGTCAGAATTTCTCCAGAGCATATAGAGCCAGAAGTTCAAATAGAAGAGAAAAGTATGAATGAAGAAAAAACGAAAATAGTTCAGCCAAATTCAGTAGCGTCTACTCAGCAAATGGTTCATGTAAATGAAGAAACTCAAGAGAATTTGGATGACGGTATTAAAGGACAACATACGCTTGGATTGGATCCTGATCTTAGAAAAATGGTGATGGAAGTTATCTTTGGATCTTCTGAAGTTAATTCCACAAAACAAGTGGAAGTAGGAGAAAGCATACTTTCAGAAAATTCTAATTCAAAACTACAAAATAAAGAAGATATTGATATACATTCTAGGGGTTTTGATTTAAAGGTGAGTGATACTGCTTCTGTGCAAGATGGTTCAAAACCACAACGTCCTATTCGTAATAAAATAAAACCTTTAAACAAGGATTTCATTTATGATTTAAAAGACGTCACATTGCGAAAAGACCCTTTAATTGTGAAACCTTTTAATAAATCATTTGCAAAAAAATCTCTAACACAGGAAGAAGATAATTTAGAGAGAGATACAGAGCAACCGTCCAAACGTTTCAAATCTGTACAGAATAATGAAATATCAATACTTTGTGGAAACAGTGTTACTGAAAAATATGATATTAAGCTCGATAGAGATTTAAAAAATAATCTTACTTTCTCTGAGTGCCACAGCTAGTTAATGAAGAACGCATCATATTGAAATTAGTCGAATCTGTATTCACTCGAAAAGTACATTACTTAAATCGATGTGTCACTTTTAAAAACAGTTTATAGCAAAATTTTTAATTGTTGTTTACAAATATGTACATATTATAATATACAGAGTGTTTTACTTAACTTTATCACCTGAAATATCTCTATTGTAATTAAAATTTCATAAAAATGTTTCCTACAAAAGTTACATAAGTTTTTGAGAATCAGCGTATAGCAATAATAATTTTATTCTATTGAGAAGGGTTAATGAAATAAGGTCAATTTTTTTTTTTTTAAGGAAACGCTATATTTTATTTGTTTGTACACGATAGCCACTTCAAAGACGAATTCAACAACCTACAACATTAAGGTCCGTTACACACTGGTGACCAATTGCCGGCGACTATTAGGTTCAAGACAATGTATGAGCTCGTATAAACGTGATCGCGGCAACCAGCTGCGGTTTTTGGATTCCTGTCGATCAAGTCGCTGGCGACTGGTTGATACTTCGTAACGGATCTAAATCCTTCAAGGTCACAAAAGGGGTCGTTTAAGTACAATTTTCTGTCTAATTTTCGGTGCCACTGCGAAGTAAGGGAATCTGACTTTTGAGAACGCTTCACTTGTTTATCAACATGTTCATGTAATCTTTGGTGACCTTGAAAGACTTAGTGCTGTAAGTTATTGTAAAGCCAAACAAAATATAGCATTCCATTTAAAAAAACAGCTTCTTGACCTTCTTATTTTATTAACCCTTCTCAACAGAATAAAACTATTGTTACTATACGCTAGCTCCTATAAAAATATGCAACTTTTATAGGAAACGTTTTCATGAAATTTTAATTATAGCAAAAATAATTCAGATAATAAAGTTAGGTGAAACACTCTATGCACACATTTGTTCATTGATATTAATAGATTTAGCATACTTTCAAATATTTTCAGTTCTTTTACTTTTGTTATACATTTTTTATAAACTAATTTTTCAATTTGTTCTTTCTTTAACAAATAAATAATTAAAAACTTCGAAATTTTTATAAAATTTCTTTACTATATGTAAAGTTACATAAAAATTATTTAAGGTATGCGATAATTATTGAAGATGAAGATAGTAATTAACTTGTACAATATTTAATACTAATTGTAATTAAAAGAAAAATATCGTTACAATTTAAGATGTATTACTATTTATACAAGTTTTTGTGCTTTCTTAACACACATTAGATAAGAAAGTGGATCAAAATGATGTTTAAAGTAATAAACGATAAGTTCAATTGATTCCTCCCCCTTTTTAGGTTGATTGAATAAAAATTTGTCAATAAAATGTATATATAAACGTACAAATTTTTGGGTAAATAATGTCAACATTTTATTTATAGTATTTAAACTTCAAAATAAATGAAACATTTCATTTGAAACTATATGAAAAGTACATATACCAATTTTCATATAATAATTTGAAACCTTTATCTTTACCTTTCAATTATGTGGAATAAAACATATAGGTATAAATAGATTCAAGTTTAAATTTAGATATACATCGTATTTATGGTTTTCTAAACTACTCTAAGCAATAAGAATCAATACAATATTATGTTTTGTTTTTAATTTGAAGTTGAATAGTGTTTTAAATTATAACAAATATCCATGGAAACTAACAACTAATAAAATTGATTTTATTGATGCTAATCAATTGTACATATATGTAGAGGAAAATAATTGTAAAGTTTTTAAAACAAAACGTAAATCGTTTATATATATGTGTAAATTGTAATTAATTTGAGAAGCTACCAAATAATAATGACATAAATATATTGAGGTGTTAAATATTATGTATTACATACATACACATGTATAGACACATAAAATATTAATTTTATTTCTTATAATAAAAGTTAACTGCTATATAATTTTAATTTTATTACGTTAAGTTTAATTATACAATTAAAATTATTATTGTTAATATTATGTAAAATTACAATTAGGTAAGTGTAATATAATTCGAAACGTATTGGTTGTGTATATACAAATGTATTTTGTGTGAGGGCGCGAAAACTTTCAACGATGTGATTTGTCTATGGTTGAGAAACTAACTGTTGGTTAGCCAATAGCGCTCCTATTACTGTGAAGTGCAACTATTGGTAGGAGGACTACGCGACAGGTATCCGTGGTAGATGCGCGGCAAACAGCATCGAGTGAAGACGTTTCTTTGCTAGCTTGTATCTTAAAGTATTTGTTTGTATGAATGACGCCGGTAAAATTATTGCAATTTGATTCTATTATTTCTATAATGGTGATAAGCAGTGACGTGGTGTGAAGTGTATTTCTCATATTAACTTATTAATTTTGTGCAATTTTTTGTTGGAGAATATTTTGTGTGATATCCTAAACGTAAGTCATCTGTTCTTTTGCTTCTTTCTTTTTCTATCTTCCGTTAAGAATTATTTTTCTCTTCTGAAGTGTTATTCACCATAAAAATTTCGTTTAAATATTCGTTTTAAAAAATTATATTGTTAGTTTATAAAGTGAAACATTTCCGCTTTCTCTTTTTTGAGTCTGTCTTAAATTTTATTTCTTATTTTAATACACTTTATTAGGTTTTCTATAGAATATATGTACGTGTACGAATTATACCCATGTGGAGTATAGTATGTGTTGTTTCTATTATATGTATTTCCAAATTTTGTAATTTATCAAAAAAATAAAAATAAAAACAGTTTGATTGTATAAGTTAAGTGCAGAAAAATTTGGAATGGTTATAAAAATTAGTTATCGAATAATTGTAAATGTATTTATTGTATATTTACGTCTTTGTGTTCCTTTATTTCATTGATAATTTTTAAATTTTCGTACGCATATATTTTTTTCATACTTTAAATGTTTTATTTTTTATCTTCATTGTTTTTCTTTCCTAATACATTCTTATTTAAACATCAAATGAAAGTTATGTAAACTGTAACTTAAGTTGAATTCTAGATTTAAGATATAAATTTAACGATGAAAAAATGTTAATAATTCGTAAATTTAAATTTTGTAATCCAATATCTATTTTTATAGACATAGTTTGATATGCAAGTTAAAATTAAATGAACACTTAAACCTCAAATTAAATCACATGTTTCCGCCCTGATTTTCAATGTCGAAGTATTGAAAATATTGGATGAAGATTTTTATTCTTTTCTAATTTTTACAATGTTTTTATCTAAATATACCTTGACATCAGTTTGTATAAATAATTTTTATTGCTCTTCATTATCCTCCTACCAGTTATTTGTAGACATAACTAGTATCTACTGTAATATTGTAATCTCTAAGAAATGTTTAATCTTTGACGATGTATAATAAAATCTTACGGTTACTCATTCACATGACAGTGCTAGTATTTGTGAAAACAAGTACTTTCACCGAACGTAATACATTCCTGGTTTCATTTAATCGGCAAAAGGAAATTAAATCAGTAGGAAAATTTGGAGATGAAAATTAACGGTTTTATATTCGATTTGTAACCAGGTGCGCGACTTTCCCTTCTTGGAAATTCTCTCTCTCTCTCTCTCTCTCTCTCTCTCTCTCTCTCTCTTTGTTTTGCCTTCTTTTACCTTTTTATGCTGTGTTTGGTTTTTGATAGGAACAAATTTGAAATATTAATTTTCTTCTTCTATTCCTTTTTTAAACCGAAAATCAAAATATGTTAACACATTGTTTCATTTCACATAATAGTTCAAATTAAACTAATTGATATTTAGTAATATTTATTTATTACATTTATAAAATCACTGAATATCATTATTTTTACGTTATCATATGAATACCGAAAATTAAATTTAACAGAATTAAAGAAAATTGTGTACAATCACAGCGTATTTTACAAACATAATAAATTTGATAATATTTAAAGAGTAAAGAAATAAAAACAGGTATATATTTTCCTGAAAAATGTAAGTTCTATTGTATTAGGACGAAGTCAGTAAGTTTAAGAAAAAGCCACAGATAATATCTGTCCGGTATAATTATTTACCACTTGCTACCGTTTTATTACGGATTATTATTGAGGCTTATTCTGTACTAATATTCGAATCATTGAATATATCCGTCGTTGGTTTGTGTTAACGGAATCATAGGATTAAAGTATAAAGCACGAATTCGAAGATATAGTACACATATCAACAAGTTGAACGCTACGTGAGCCAGTAATCCATAATAATAAGAAACCATTATTATTTAGCGAAAGTAAAACATATTATTCAATATGTTTTAGTAAATTGCTAAATATATTGTGTGTGTGTGTGTGTGTGTGATACAAAAGCAAAGCAGAATAAATTGTGATAGACAAAATTATAACGAAAATTAGAAATAATCCGTTCTTTACCATCAGATACTTACAAAGCTTTTCAATTTTATTCTATCAATATATTTTGTAAGAAATCGACCTCTGCTTATGGAATAAACGTGTTTGTTCTACATTTTTTAATTGAATTTACCTTGTTTGCGGATATCAGGGATTTTTCTGTTTGTGAGAATTCTGTTTATTTATATACAGCTAGTTTCAAAGAAAGAATCTCTGATTTAATAAAGAAATGTTCCTTTTGTGATGATCTGCGTTTCCATGACAACAGATGACATGCACTTTACACGACGTCAATGCCCTCTTTGCATTACGTATTCAGACTAACTGGAATGAAAATATTTTCCTAAGAGATAGTTTTGTCCCTTTTTGAATAAATATTTAACCCTCAGGCAGCGAACTGTGTGACACTCGCGCGCACGGCACACTCTGCACGATGGGGCAGAAATAAATAGAAATTGTAAAAGTTACGGAATCGGACATTTTTATGCGTCTCATATAAGGAGACAATATTCTTCATTCAGATACATACAGGGTGACCCATTTTAATCTGTAAACGCTAATGTTTCGGACACTACGTTGAATTTAAAAACCTGTTGTTGATGTGCATGTTGATATGAAAATTGTAACTCGTTTCGTTA